GAAAGTTTTATACCAAACTCTGTCACCCATCATGATATTTCTATTTGACGATATATTCCTATTTAATCATTCATATCAATACTAGTTTCTTTAACTATTCTTTTAAAATTTATTTGTATGTCCCAAAATTTGTCATCAATTATTTCACCATTTGTACCATCTCTTCTGTGTTCATTTGTGATAATCTTGACAAACAATCTGGCACTATATTTCGTTTCCCGGGCCTATGAATTATCGTAAAGTCATGAGCTCCCATAGCCAAACTCCATTTTTGGAGTCACATTGATATTGAAGAATTGTCCTTGAGTTCTTTCGTAAATATATAAACGAGTGGCTTGTGGTCTGTAATTATTGTAAATCTCGTACCAAATTAAATATTCTTGAAACCTTTTTACCGCGTATATAACAGATAAAACTACTCTTTCAATATTTATATAATTTAACTCTGATTTTAATAATGCTCCTGACGCGAAAGCAATGGGTTTCTCTTTACCATCACCTTCAATATGAAATAAGACGGCGCCTATACTTCTTTAAAGCATCAGTTGCAATGCCTACTGATAGATCCGGGTTATATAAATTTAAGGTAAGCTAAGTTATCAGTTTTTTTAGGTCATCGAATCTTTCTTGATGTGTACTATCCTATAACCATTTGTTCTTTATTAACTATTTTGTATAAGGGATGAGCTATGTCCGCAAAATTAATGAGAAATTTTAGATAATAGCTCGCCATCTACAAAAAAGTCGCCAATTCCTCTTTTGTCTTAGGTTCCGGCATGTTCGAAATAGCTTTAATCTTATCTGCATTCGGATGTATTCCTGTGTCGTCTATATCGTGCCCCAAGAACCGTAGTTTTTTCTTTAAAAATATCCTTTGTAAAATTTGGTGTAAGCCCATATTTTTATATCTTGTCAAATACCATTTTTATGTTATTCAAATGAGCTTCATCGTCGTCCCCAGTAATTAGCAAATCGTCGATATAAAATATAACATCTTTCATGTCCCCAAATATATTGTCCATAATTTGTTGGAATATCTGACGAAGTCTCTAATCTAAACGGAAGCTTTGTAAATCTGTATAGCCCTTGTGTGTTGATATCGAAGATCTCCAGATTCTTTGTGTATAGGTACTTGAAGAAATGCGTTTTTAATATCAATCTTTGTAAATTTCTTACCTTTAGATAATTTTGCAATTATATCCTTGATGCGCGGTATTGGGTACTTAAAATCTTCTAAAACAGGGTTTATAGTAATTTTGAAGTCAGCGCAGAGTCGAAGTTAGCCATCACTCTTAAAAACGAGAGTGAGAGAACTAGCCCATCAACAGGTTCAATGATTTTATCGTTTATCCACTTTTGAAGTTTGTTATTAAATCAATTCTTGAATATGGTGTACGCCTTGGTGGTATGATTTTCGGTGTAGCATCTTATTTTAAACGTAATTTGACATAGCTGCGATGTATTGGCTTTTTTTAACTTTTAAATTGCATTGATTAATTAATTCACTTATCATAATCTTCCTCGAATAAATTCACTTATCATAATCTTCTTCGAATAAATTCAAATTTATCTAGTATATTTCCAAAACTGTTATTCAGGTCCTTCCCAAAAGTACAATCTTGTCACTTTGGACCACATAGCTTTTAAAATTTGAGATTTGTCCTCGAATTTTTCCTTGACTTGGACAGTACTTAACACCAAGGACCCGGAGTGAACCGTAACGAACCGTTAAACCATTATTAACCGTTATAAATATCTGAACTATAACCGTAACCGAACCAATATAATTATTTTTTGGAGTAAAAAGAACCTTTATAAAAAAAAGTTAAACCGGTTTAAACAGGTTCAGCTTTTATATTTTAGAAATGAAAATAATTTGAATATCCAAAATATATAAACTTGCTCTTATAGTACTGGCGGTTCTTGCAACACAAATTTCTGTAAAAAGGGCCTTTTCGGGGCTAAAATTTGTGTTATCGTCACCGAACAAAAAGTAGATCCATTTATATTAGAAAATATATTTAAAAATGAGTTATGTTAAATCATATATATATTTTTTTATATATAATTCATAGATGCTTATAATAAAAATAAATTAGACGATGGTGTTGCTTCAATAAAAAAAAAATTCTAACCGTAATGAACCTTTATAAACCTTTATAATTAGCTGAACTGAACCGAACCTTTGTAAATATTTTCTTTAGAACCGTAACATAAACGTACATTATAATTTTTTACATACTGAACCGTAACCAAATTGAACCGTTATAAATAACAGTTCGGGTCCCTGCTTAACACTTTAATTATTTTTCCATCCTGTCCAGTTAATTTTGTATCCGATTTATTTAAGATTTTAATTCCAATCTTTCTTGCAATATGAATCGGTAGGATGCTGAACCTAGAACCAGTATCTATCTGCATTAATATTGGCACGTCATTCAAATATACTGTAACTTTATATGCATCATTAGCTGTGTTATCATTATCAGCATTCATATTGTTTATGTCCAAATTATATAAATTATATTCTTTTTTCTCTAATTTATCATTTTCATCTTCTTTCATCTCTTCTATATTTACAGTGTTTACTTTGTTTGTGTATCGTGATTGACATTATCGTTGTTATGATATCTACAATTACATACTTGATTTCTTCCTTTATTTCCAATTGTCATCTCTTTGAATAAATCTTGAATCGTTATAATGTCTGTAATATTTGTATTTATAATTATTAATTAAATCTATGGTTATTATAGTTATTGTTATTTTAACTAGTTCTATTAACAAATCTTGAAAAATTATTGTACTATCCTGGGTAGTTTGCCCTGAAGTTATTGTAATAACTCGCATTATACTTCTGATATCTAGGGTTGTAATTATTTCCTTGATAATTATTTCTTTGAAAGTAATTGCTTCTTGTTGCCTATCGTTGTCTATTATCGTAATTAGATGTAAATTTTGTCTTTGATCATAGCCTCCATATCTCACCATCTGTTTGTTTTCTTCAATTTTCCTACCTCTTTGCATCTTCTGTTTTTTCGTTTAAAGAAATATTTTCAATTTTAGCAATTATAATTATAACTCCTCAAAATCATCTCTTAAAGAAAGAACATCTGCTAATGTAATGTTTTCTTTTAACGTAATTTTCTGCCTAATATTTCTTCTGATTGACGAAATTTTTACTTTTTCAATAACTCTACTATTGTCTAGCAAACACTCATTTTTTAAAATGCATAATCTACTTACCCAACTGATATAACTTTCATTTTTGCCTTGTACAGCTGCTAAATAATAATAGGTTCGAACTTGCCTGAATTTTTCAATCAAAATCAATTGATTGATGAAGTCGGTAGGTAAACATATCAATTTGAGCTTGATATATTCTTCGTCTGATGGTCTTCTTGAGAAGGATCCAGCTTTTTCGATGTCCGAGATCTGAGTGTCCTTGAAAATGTTTTCGAATCTACTTAAAAAAAAGATCGTCATTGCCTGAGTATATCGGAAATTCAATATTTATATCATAGGCGTAGCCAGGGGGGGGGGGGAGCAAGGAGAAATCCCCCCCCCCTTCAGAAATTTATCACTTTTTTTAAATATCATTTTTAGCTAATAAAAAATATCACCCTTAGTCCTCTACCACTCCCTGACCCTCAAATATGTATGCATATATCTTAAATAATAATTTAAATGAAAGAATGTAAAAGTTGATATTTTTTTATAAAAAGGACATCAGAAAATATCTTTTAAAGACATTGTGGAATGAATAATATGAAGATTAAATTTAAATATCATTTTTCTTAAAAAAATAGATGGCGTTAAATAATTGAATGCAAATTGTTGCTATATTTAATATAAAGAGCATTGATTAGTAAAATTTGTGAAATTATTAACTGTGATATATACTCTAACTGTCAAATATGTCTGTAAAAGTGGAATTATACCTAGTATTTTATAACTAATTCTATATAATAGAGTAAAATCAACAATATGTCTACTTACTTTTTATAAATAAATTACTTATAATTGTTTGGAATAAATTATTACCATGCTTTTATATTAAGGTATATACAATACAAGTAATTTATTATATTTTTATTTTATATAAACTAATAAAAATATATTTCATATAAACTAATAAAAATATATTTCATATAAACTAATAAAAATATATTTCATATAAACTAATAAAAATATATTTCATATAAACTAATAAAAATATATTTCATATAAACTAATAAAAATATATTTCATATAAACTAATAAAAATATATTTCATTTTGTTCCAGGCTTTTTTTTATTAAAATTTGTAAAAATATTTATGACTATATATAGACTAAAGTAACCCGGCCGCCCAAAGGGGGGTATGGGGGCGAAGCCCCCAGTAATTTTTAATTCCCCCCCCCTTTATGAAAATCCTGGCTACGCCTATGATTTATATTAACATAATTGTTGAGAATCTATTTCATATTTATTTATTTATTTACGATTTCCTCGAATATGTAGCGGACGGCCACCATGTTGATTTCGGAGAAATTGGTGCTTCTGAGAATTGCGAAATTACGAGAATTATTTTTTTTATTTTATTTACGAATCAATTTAACTTTACCCTAAAAATATCAAATTAAATTCGATCTATTTATAATAAAATTTGTAACTAATATAATGTCATTCACAATTAGAATTAGTGTAATTAAATTTTGAATGTCATTACCAAAACAAACAAGTAGTTTAAAGGAGAATTATAAATTACAACTACTTAACATTATTAAACAACTAGAAATGGATTTTGTTTTATCCTTTATTATTCTTATCTAGGTAACAAGTTCTTGTCGGCTTCCTTGCGAATAAAACACCGGCATGATTATATGAGGAAGGACATACTCACGTGAATTCTCCTTAGGGCAAGTCGTAGACCAACGTGCTAAATGAATATACTTATCGAATTTTAAATTGAGCTTAAAAAAGAAGAATATGACAACTGTTTAATTACATTTCATAATATTCCTTGTGGTTAGATTAATTATTTTATTTTGTCCTTTACTATAAGATATGGCAAGTAATACAGCTAGCATACAACAATTATTAAATGCTGAAAAAAAAGCTGCCGATAAAGTAGGAGAAGCTAGAAAAAGTTTTATAAAATGGTATAAATATTTATATATTTTTTTAAGGAAAAGCAATTCGTTTAAAACAAGCAAAAGATGAGGCGCAAGCAGAAATAGAAGCGTATAGAACGGAAAGAGAGGGAGAATTCAAAGATTACGAAGCTCAAGTAATATATATAATTATGCAATTTTTATACTATAGAATAGCATTTGGGATCAAAAGAAGATGTTAAAAAAAGAATACTCAAAGAAACTGATGAAACCATTAATCAAATTAATGAGCATTTAAAGAATCAAAAAACAAAGGTTGTAACAAAGCTCATATCATTAGTTTTAGATATAAAGCCGGAATTACCTAGAAATTATGTTATTGATTCTTAATTATTCTAAATTGAATCATATTTAACTTTAAATATAATAATTCTGTTATAAATATTTTATAATTGTTAAATTTGTATATCTCATTATTTATATAAAATATATACTGATCTTGAAATAATTTATCTATCATATTTAACATGATTTCTATTGATATGAGCAATTTACAAACCGTTATATTTAATTAGCTTATTTTTTACAGATGTTAATTACAAAATATTTATGCTTTAATTTACTCAAATTTATAAATATACTCTATGTATTCTTCTTAATTTCATTAAATGATGTAGATAATACACTAAAATGGTTTAAAAACAGTTTGCCTAATTATTTGGAGATTGATAATGGTTGAGTGGGAGATCTTTCTATTAGTTATGTTCCTCAGCTAGTTTTCACTTATGTTTTTAAAGGGCAATTTGATGTCAAATCAGCAATAAAGGAAATAATTATTTATATCTCATAATGTAATATAGCTAAGTCAAAATCAAACAATCCAGTTTTATCTGATAAATTCAATTAATTTTTGTTTAAATGATCACGTTAATTCATTATTCCTTGATAATATAATTTTTTTGCCAAATTACTTTTAGAAAAGTAAAAACATGCATATTTACTAGTGTTATTAAATGGACCAATTTTTAAAAAGGGCTAACCCAATATTTTAGCTAAAAAATATAATGCAAGCCTTAAGATTTCATTAATAGATGTCTTAATCTTTACCATCTATCCATAATTGCGTAATATTTTTTTGGCTAAAATGTTGTTTTTTGAAAATTGAGTTGTTTAACAAACTAATATTTACAACTAATCAGGTAGCCAGAGGGACATGTATGAAAAATGGGAAGGCATTTTTTTCCATATAACCAGGGATGTGAACCCGGACCCTGGACCCTCGTATTTTGGCTGAACCCGGACCCTTTTAAAAAGTGGAGGGTCCAAGGGTTCAGGGTGCTAAAAAATTTTTTTAAAATTAATGTAAATATAAAATTTTATTAATTTTTAAAAAATAATATAAAATTTTTATTAATTTTTAAAAAATAATATAAAATTTTATTAATTTTTAAAAAATATAAATAATTTTATTAATTTTTAAAAAATAATGTAAAATTTTTATTAATTTTTTTCGTGGAATCTCCCTAAAAAATAGTCACTTTAAAACTATAATTGATAAAGCAAGGGATGTTGTAAAATATTTAAGAACTCCCACAATTGTTAGAATATTAAAATCCATGAAAAGGTAAATGGCAATTTTAGATTGCACAACACGTTGGTCCTCTATATGTATGATGCTAGAGCGATTATTAAGTTTGAAAGATTTCTGTAATAATTTTATCATAGGAGCATGTGAAATCATTTTGTCAGAAGATGATTGGAATCAAGTAAAAGAGGTTACTAGTGTGCTGGTTCCTTTAAAAATAACAACATTAAGAGTGCAAGCAGAACAATTTATCGGATTTTTATGGCATATGGTTAAGATGTCGATTAGAGTTAGGGAGATACAAGTTCTTATTCAAATGAAATATTAGAAAATACGAAAATAAGAGAGCAACAATATTTACAAAATAGTGTTGTATATGCTTCTATATATTTAGACCCGCGATATCAGGTTTTATTAAGTAGTGAGCAAAAACAAATGGCTATAGACCATCTTGAAGATTTATGGCATACCCAAAACTCTATTATTTACAATACATTGGTGGTTACAACAATATCTACTGGTTGTAGCGATAACAATGATAATGATAACGATATTGATGATCTGGAAATTTTACTATTAGATAGAGAAAAAAAATTAAATTATCATCTGATAGAAAGGAGCAAAAAATATCTATTGTATCTTTAATAGAAAAGTTCTCGGAAGTTATGAGAATAAATAGAGATGCAAACATTTTAAAATTCTGGGAGGAAAATTTTTCAATATATCCAGAATTATATACCTTTCCTAGAATCGTCATGGCTGTACCGGCGACACAAGTACAATAATTTATGTATTATAAAAATTACTATCTATTTTAGGTAAGCGTAGAACGTGGATTTTCATCGTTGACTAATTTACGTGGAAATCTGAAGGATGATATTTTAGAAGATATCATGATTGTGCGATTAAAATATTTAAAATATAAATTATCTCATTTCGAATTATAAATGTGTATATATTGAAGTATAATAAAAAATGAATGAAAAAAAGTCTTATTTTGAGTCATTATTTTTATGTTTCCTCTGAACCCGAACCCTGGACCCGGGTCCTTTTTAAATTTATTACCGAACCCGCACCCTTTTTTTTGTCGAAGGGTTCACATCCCTGCATATAACCTTTTTTGTAGGGGGTGGTAGATTTTTAATTTTTGTATGCTACCTCCAAAAAAATATTGTATAGTAACCTGCAAAAAAATGTGGCCTGAACCCAACCAAAATGCAGTTTAAGAAGAATTTAGGTATTTGAACAATTTTTTAAAAATGGAATTAACTTTATATTAATGTCATATGTATAAGATTAACTGGTACAGAAAACTTTAAATAATATATATTCGTGAACTGCATTAGGCCTGCCCAAAAATATTTTAGAATCTGTTCTTCCCAATCCTGGAAGTAATTTTTCAGCCTGGCCTGAATTTATTTAAATAGAGAAATTAATTCATGTATAATCAAGTTTTTGATCATTCCAAGAGTAAATAAAATATTATGGTATATTATTTCTTATAAAAATTAAAATATATCAATTTTATTCAAAATTTAAGCCTATCCTAAATTATTTTAAACAGCCCAGAGTTAAGGAGTGGTGCTCTTTTTCAAATACACCTAAAAATCAGAAGTGGGAGCTAGTTCCTTTTAGGCCTGGAGTGGAGGAGCGCCGCTCTTTTAAATTTAATGTACAAATTAAATTATTTATTTCTTAATTAAAATTCAATAAAAAGAAATTTCATTTAAATTTATGCAATATTAAATGTTGAGCCAAATTTTATATTGGTTTTTCATCTAATCAGTAAAAATATCAAACATCATTTTATATTGAAAATTTTTTGGAAAATCTTGTAAGTCATATTAATATTCGTTTTATAGATATATGATAAAATAGCTTTTGAGATTATGGATTCAGACATCATGGAAGAAGAAATCGAATTTCCATCATACAAAATATATTTTTCTCTTCTAAGAGTTAGATCCTATTGAAATGAATATTATGGCCTAATGTTTATTATTTATAAATAAAACTATTTCATTTTCTAAAGTGAGCAACTTCAACCTAAAAATGCATCTAAAAGTAAAAAATATTTCTTTTAAATAAAAAATGATTATATATTTTTTTTACTTTAAAATAATTTTTTTTCAAATGGCTATAATTATTTTTGGGCAATTCATTATAGTTGAGCTTGGGTTGTTAGATATGATGCTTTTTTAAATTTCCTGAATTAAAAAATATTTTTATAAAATGCATTACCTCATTTCCCTCTATTGCTCCTATGAAGCACATGTTTAGTATATTGCTAAACATGTTTTAGGAGAGAGGCGTAAATGTTTGTTAGATTCAAACTTTACTTTTAAAAGCTAATAAAAGATTATAAATATTTTGATATATATATATATCATTTAATAAAAATAAAACTTATTTGATAAAAAAATATGATTTTGTTTCGTGTACTTAAAAATGAAAATCAAAGGAGCGGTGGAATGGCACTCCATTACTTGGAGCGGGAGCTAGCTCCTTTTAAAAATTTAGTAGCGGGAGCTGCTAGCTCCTTTTGAGAAGGTAGGAGCGGGAGTTAGCTATTTAAAAAGAAGCGTTAACAACTCGGATTAGGCCCAACACAAAATATTTCACAATTTTTTTTTATGGGATATGCCAAGGATTTATTAGTATTGCCTAAAAAGGTGTTATTGCAATTCTGGTATATTTATTTTATTAATATGACTGTCCACGCATAAGTGTTTTAAATTGATTAGTGATATTCAACTAGATAAAAAATAAAATAATAAATATTTTTGGGAAAGCTGGGCCTATATTATTGATGTTACTTATAGTTACATTCAATTTTCCATGTTTTGTAATTATTTTTATTTAGAAAGGGTATAAAACAAATTTACATAAATTGTATTCCAAGCAAATTTTGATTTATTGTAAAAAAATTTTATCTTAATTACTTCAAAAATTTGAGAATTCACTTATTGGGTTTGTTACACCCAGTGTTCTGAACCCCAAAATATTTCGGTTTAATGACTTGGAGCGTATTTTTTCCCCAATTGGGCCATGTTTGATCTTTGATTCATTTCTTAAAGAGCTTTATTTTAAAGCGATTTTGTATCTAAATAAAAAATAACACATTGTATAAAATAAAAAATAGTGCTGTAAAGTAACGTCGATGAAAGTATCTGTGTTACTTTTGAGGGGAAGGAATTTGTTACTATTTCAAAGGGTGAATAGTAACGTTTTTTAGTAATGGTAATGCAAAACGTTACTTTAAATTAACCGAGTTTTTAATTCAGACCAACCACCAAAGTTCTTTATTTTTATTTATTAAATTTTTGTTCAATTTTATAGTCAAGATGTTAATATTGAATTAAACAAGGTATGTTAATCTATATTCTCTAATATTATAATTTATTTTGTGTCAATAGTACTTATTTCTTCCAATGAAGACCATTTAACTCTGACCTGACCCCAGTATGAAACATTTTTTACACAAAATAAATTAAGGGCACTAAGTCTACCTTTTGTAAGTGTAGAGTATGCCCTAATTTAAATATTTCAATCTCAATATCCAGCAGCTCTAATCTTAAAAAAATGAAGAAATATAGATTCAGATTAAATTATGATGTAGATTTTTAAAAAAATTGATGAAGTCTAAATAAAAATTTTTGGAACTTGGTAAATTCCCCCAAATTAATGTTTTTGAATAAATATAATACAACCTTCCCATCCTCTGCACCAGTTGAACGTGTTTAGCACCGCGGAAGCTAAGCACCAAACGCTCTTGTTTTTCTGATCAAAATTTATATTCAATTGTTAAAAACTTTATATTATTTTTGTTTAATTTTTTGATCTATGGGAAAAATAAATAAATAAATATTTATATGAAATATTTAGTATTTTTTAAATAACGCGTTACTTTTTTGAATAGCGAGTAACGCGTTCCTTTTTTTAATGTAAAGAGTAAGGCGTTTCTTTTTTCAAGTAATATTTAGATTATTAAAAAAAACTTATAATAATTATGGGCGTATATAGTAAAAAAAATAAATAGGAAATTTTTTAAAAAAGAAACTAGATCATTTAGGTATAGGTTCAAAGGAGGAGTGAGCGCGTGGGAAATTAGATCTATATTTTTAAAGAGCATCTCTTTCTAGATAAAAGCCTTGGCAAAATGTAAATTATTGATTTGGCTGAGAAATTATTACATATAGTTCCAATATTGACCAAGGTAATAAGTAATACCCTCTGATCTTTTTAAACTCTCGTTGGAAAGATTTACTGGTTCCAGGTTGAATGGGATGTTAGCCTTTTGAAAGCTTTTAATATAACGTTGATTGTTTTGTGGTGAGGTTAGCATCTACTAATATTTACAATGTAGGTAGCTTTTATCGATTATTTTACCAAAATCAACTCAATTAGATGGTGTAAGTGCTACAGCCTAGGTGGAGTGCGATAGAGATTCTAAGTTCTTCCGAATAGAGCTTCGCGAGGTTGGTAGGAATTGCCTGAGCCATTCAAATTCAGTTTTAGCTTATAAAAAATATTGTATTGGGGTTGACCTGAAAATAACCGTTTCTAAAGAGGTTTTTAAAACAAAAGAAAAAAATATTGGGTGACTTTAATTTTTTTTTAAATACCTAGATCTATAAAAAAAACTTCTGAGCCTATACCAAACAAGTAACCATAAAATAGCAAACACGATTCTACTATGAATGAATTGGATCAAGAATGCATATTCTTATCAGAAAACGTCATCGGTAAAATTATATAATGTATCCCAATTAATTCTAAATATCCTGAACTTTGACTAAAAAATTATTTTCTAAAACAGAATTTTTTATGTTAGAAATAAAATAAGTATAACAACCTTTAATTAGATAAAAGTCAAAAAGATATATTTATTCATGATATAGATGTTCTAAATGAACATTTAATGGTTAAAGAGTTTTCTCAATTGCTAAATTGATGCTAATTTCAAGGAAATAAATCCTTATGTCCTGCAAATTTGAAATTAGTGTACATTATATTTTAGCGTTTATATCAAATAACATTTATAAAAAAGTAATTTAATGTAAAAATTTTGTTATTGCGTTGATTCAAACTGTCTTTCATAATAGTGGCTAAAAAGCATTACACTGCTGACAACCAATTTGATTTTTAAACATAAAAATAAAAAAAATTATATATTTTGCAAGAAGATTAATTTTTTGTCTGTTTAAAATCGTGTTCGGGTTTAGGTTAAGTTCAATAAAAATGTTCTCTAAGCCAGATTCACAACTCCGGGTTTGACGCCCTATGCCTGAATTTTTTAAAACTTTGATTCTGTTTTATTAACTGTTTCAAAGAAAAATTGAAAAAAAAACGAGAAGGCAAATGAAAGTTAAATAATTCATTATCTGAATTTCCTGCTTAATTGATAATATTTAAATCTATTTAGATAAATTCGGTCATTATCTGAATTTCCTGCTTAATTGATAATATTTAAATTTATTTTGATAAATTCGGCCTGACCCGTGTTTTACAATCTTATGTAAAGGCCTGACCGGGATTTTATAAATGTACCAATATGAGATTGATATTTATATTGCTGAGGCTAGCGGGAGAGACTGAATATCTATGGAATTTTACTCTTTATTCAACTTCTATCAAATCCGAAATAATAATCAAAATATCGTCTGTAAATTCTTTTATAAAATTAATAATCAAAATATCGTCCGTAAATTCTATTATTAAATTAATAATCAAAATATCATCGGTCAAATAAAAAAGGTTAGAATAAAATGATACTAAATCAGACTAATATCCTCGTTAGAACTAAAATGATACTAAATCAGACTAATATCCTCGATTATATATATTTTTCTATAATATTCGTCAAATCAGAAAAGTTAGAACTAAAATGATACTAAATCTTTATTAAATAATAAGTTAAAAATATAATCAAATTAAAAAAAATTAAAATAATCAAAAATTAAAATTAAAAATTATAATTAAGTTCGTAAAATCATGATCTCTCCCTATACAAATATCCTCGAATATATATATATATACTTTTCTATAATATTCATTTACATAATGTTTTACAAACAAACTGAAAAAAATCTTGAACTTTCTTTAATTTGAATAATCATTCTTTTTTATTCATCTTTCTTTAAATCATTTGCATTCGAAATTTAATTCTTTTTTCTTGAGTAGATTTGAATATCTTTCGGCTTCGTAATTTGGTTTAACAATTACAACAATAAATAATGCATCTTTATGGCATTCTAAGTTCCTGGACTGTAAGACGGATACCTTTTGGGGTTCGACAATAGAAAGTATTTTTAAAATAAGTGATACTAAGTGGCAGCCCAATGCATTAAGAAAAATGTCAAAAAAAATCGAAATAAATAAACCCTCTTTAGGGAATCGGCTACTAGAATTTTCAAAATCGCTTGATTCATATAAATTATAAGAGAGTTCTAGGTTATACTTCCAGTTCCTAGTTTTTTTCGTGGATCGGAAGGTTTCAAGTTCTCTGGTTTATCCCAATTATAAAATAGAGAACTAAATAAATTATTTAATGAATATTTATCGTTTATTTCATTTGTATATTTTTCTTCTTTTTATAAATTATTAATAATAAATAATAAAAATTACAAGTAATACATTTAATATTAAAAATATTTAAACATTATTAAGGTTTCACATAACATAATATACATATATATTTTTAAAAAAAACAATATTTATAACAGGTTCTAATTAAAATTTTATTATATAAATATAAAAATGTTTAAAAAAACAAATATTGGGCTGATATATCTCAAAAATAGCCTATTTATGAATGATGGTGACTACAAAGTTGAATAAATATGTTTAATTAAATATTCTTTATGAAATGATTTAAAGTAAATTTATTTATTTTTTGTTAAATTATAACATAATCGTCTTTTTAAATAAACAAATGCCTAGATTTTAGTTAAAACTATCTTTTTCTAAGGGTCTACAAAAATGTTAAAAAATCTAAAAATAATAAAAGGGGGATCATGAAGTTTGAAAGGCTGCCGTTCTATAATCTTTTCTAGAACTCTCGGTTCCCATAGTAAATGGCGATAAATCGGACGAAATCTCGGTTGAATCTTGGATCAATTGGCCGGCTAATTCGTCGAATTGAACCATCTTACCCCGAAGAACGGTTAAATGATCGTTCAAACCCACTATGATTTGATCCAATTCTAGCTTGGGACCATTTTGAGGCGAGTCAGTGTTTGTGGCTTGAGTTTTCATTTCGTCGTTAATTTTACCGGGGCCCGAATTAAGGGTTCGAGGCAAGGTAGGTTCGAACTCTTGGTTTAAGTGATGACTGAAAATCCGGAGAACGGGGGGAACCCTTTGGATTTCGTGATAAAATGCCAGGGGTTCAGAACTGGGTTCTAGCGAGCCAAACGGTAGGTTCTAGAATAAGCGCGAGAGGTGGTATAAAGATTTTTTTAAAATTAAAATATTAAGGAGAATAAAAAACTGAAAAAAACGAATTTTAATAAATTAATAAATTTTTTTCTTTTTTTTTGTCTTACCAATGGATGATTAATCAATATAAAATCTTCAAGATTTGTAGAATTAAGAGGCTTAAGCGTATTCTCGAAATTTTTGATGCCATCGTAATTTGAGTTTATATTCCGTAAGTTATTGACGCCATCCGAAACATAAATTTTAGTGGAAGATTTGGATATGGGTGCTGATAAATTTACGTCCTTTGATTAGTTTTTTTTTAAATTAATTTTAAATGATGCATATTATAACTTCAAGTTTCCATTTAATGATGACTTTATTTCTATCAGAGACCTGCAGAGTTACCATTTGCATGGCCCGGCCCGGATTTTACACTTTCATGCCTTGCCCGAATTTTTTTTAAATATATGGTAATTATTTTTAATTTTTATAGTTAATAATGGCAATTCAAATTATTTGATTTTAAAATATTCAGCCCGACCCAGGTATTTTTTTAAAAAAATTTTTTAAGCTAGGACAGGGTATTTAAAAAAAAAATTAAAATATGACCCGGCCCAGGAGGTCTTAATTTCTATTAAATATAATGATTATATAATGGGTTTTAATAATAGTTTTATAATAAGGTAATCATTGTATATATAAATATACTGAAAGGTTATAAAAGTATTTCTTATATAATATTCAAATATATATCATTTTGAAATAATAATAATAAAAGTAAAATGGTTCTGAGAATATATTATGTAAATGATATTTAAATACAGATGTAAGCAATGCATTTAATTTAAATGACAGAACCCATCCTGGCTCATTTCCTTAATACTGTTTAAAAACGTTAGAAAATATATGAAATGTTAGAAGATATAGCAAATTTATGTATCTTTTTAAACAATGCACTCTAAAATATTAGGAAGTAATTGTTTGAAACACTACGTTATTCTATCGGATCCTTTTTGTAATTAGTAAATGTAACCGATCATGTAAAAAATAACTTATATGCAAGTTTAAATTTATCAATTCTAAATAGCTTATTAAATATTATAAATATCTGTATATTAAGATAATTAACATAAACTAAAGAAACCCCAATTAGGTTTCTTGGGTTATAACAATGAGGACAAAAAAATATTTCCTGTTTTAAAGGCATCGTTAAATGAAGGCCGAGACGTTCTCGAATCGCATATCGGTATGAATTGCTAAAAATTGTGCAGTATCTAAAATCAATGTATTTGTATTTGAGCTTTCAGAGACCGCGATCTGATTTTCGCGGTTATTTTTTTTCCAATAATAAATGATATGATATAAATGATTGCCAAATATAATTGAAAATTATAACATTTTTCATAAAAAATAATCATTTAAATTTAAGATTATAATGAAAGCATTATATAATTAAGAGATATTCTTATAACACTTATTTTGTAATTTTAATATTAATTCGATTTTTTGATATATCTAAAGGATGCACAAACAGATATAGAGCCCTATCCTCCTAATCTAATGACGCTGAGACAGATTATTAAAACATAAAATGGGCACAATGATGATGTATGTTGACTAGGATAGTACCCCATCCCTCTAAAATTTCAATGGCATAAAATAGTCTTGAGACCAAAAAAGAGTGGCTCAGTCAAATATACCTCCGTACTGTTTCTAATAGTTTTTATTAGAATATTCGGATATGGGTGAGGGGAAGGGGGGGGGGGTAACTAAAATCAATAATGGATAAACATTTATTTATATAATTTTAGGAGCTTTAAAGAGTTATCTAAACCTAAAATCAAAAAAAATAAGAGTGTCATTTATTATTTCTATATCACCATTCGTTTTCTTATTTGTTGCAAATAAACTTTGATGTTTCCTGAGACTAAAAAACAAGTCCTTGTAATTCGAAATAATCCAATTTCAACAAATCTAGACAGGTCATTTGAATTAAAAATATTTTCTTGAGTTGAACCATAATCTTGTAATTCATGATGATAATTTTTATCACATAGTCGATTTTTCTTACTTTTAATTTAATCTCATTAAAATAATTCCAATGAGTCTCCATAAATGAATAAGAAAACTTTACGCTTAAAATGACTTAAATTAATCAAGAAAACTCAAAATTTTAACACAATTATATTTAAATTTATAATTATTTCAGTATTTTTTTCAAAAAGGTAAACCAGAAACTAGTAACTTTAAAAAAAACTATTAATAAAATAAATTACCAAGGAAAATAAAATATTAATTTAATGTAATTTTGTTGTTTGTCATCAGGGTTTCGAACCGTTTAGTATAACGGTTCGGTTCGGTTTATAATTTATAACGGTTCTTTTCGGTTTGTTCCGGTTTTTATAAATTTAATTTTAAAAAAAATTAATCATTAACTATGTATATATTAATTTTAGAGAAAAATCTTTTTAGTTTATAATTTCTTATTTAATTTATCCATGATAATCTAATAGATATTTTTATTAAATTTAGGAAATATAAATTAGACAAATTAGTTTTTTTTTATTTCATAAATAAATAAGATAAAAACAAACATGCGTAAATACAATAATCAATAAAATAATATGTATACTATACTATTTAGGTTTAAAAAGAGAATTCGAACGGATAACTAAAATATTTTCTAATATTTCAGGATTTAATTTAGTTCTCTGCGCAGAGAGTATAAACTTAAGGCTTGAAAACGCTCTTTCTATGGAGACCTCTGTTAGCACAGTTATAGCTAACTTATAAAGTTCTGGCATACTATTCTTTACATTTTCCCAATAATTCAAAAGATTAGTATCTTTTTCTAATCTCTCTATATTATCAAATGACCGAATTATATATTCTATTTCTATACATTTATTATAATTTTCGATGCCCTGAGAATTATTCTTATTAAGACTTTCATGCGACTTTAATAAATCTTCAAAATCATCATCTAAATTATCCTTCGAATACGAACACGTAGGCATATTTAGAATTTCAATATTCTGATTATTTAGATTTTGTATCAAGTTCCAATTTTTACAAAGATGTTTTCTGGCGATCTCTCTTTCTTAAAAAGTTAAAAATACATTATATCTAGGGTCGAGATAAATAGCAGAGCAAAAAACTTCATTTTTAAAATTTATTTCTCATGCTTTCATTGTAGAAACTAAAAGTCTGGCAAATGGAGTGTCTACTTTACTCGTTTGCATGAGACATTTGATCCACGCAGCATAAAAATCGCCCATTGTCAATTGTTCACTTTGTAAATATTTTGTCAAAACATAAGCTGGATATAAAGCTTTTAATATGTCACTAATTATTTCCCATTCATTCTCTGATAAACATTTTTGATCGCTTTGGAGCGATATTTCTTGGCAAAAGCTTTTTAACTCTAGTAATCTCTCCAACATTAAATAGATAGAGTTCCATCTTGTGCAACAATCTATTAGTGGTTTTTTCAAATTTAATTTGAGAATAGCCATTGTTGTCTGATTTCTTATTTTTTTGCAGATGTTTCTTGCTTTATTTATAATGACAATTTCATTTGAATTTTTAATGCAATCATTAATTGCTAATTGAAATGTATGTGAAGCACATCTAACACCTATTAATATGGGTCTGGCATTTGATGCAAGATTAATATTTTCAATATTAAAAGGTTATTTATTTTCATCATGAATTATATCATTATTATTTAAATCATCATTATCTATATCATTATTATTTAAATCATCATTAATTAAATAATCGTTAAGGTCATCATCTTCTTCATCGTGTAGTATTAATAGCTTTTAACTTAATCATATTTGCTGCATTATCGGTGGTTATTGTGTAAATCTGCTCAATTTTTATTTCATATTCTTTTCAAACATCTAGAATAATTTTTTTAAGATATTCTGATGTGTGTCGTTCTTTAATCACTTTCATGCATAGAGTCCTTAATTTTATTTTTCCGTTATTTATAAATTGAATATTGATCCCCAATATGGACCTATCATATCTAGTTGTTATATCATAAACGGATCTGAATAATAATCTGAAATTGATAAATAGATCTAAATATTATTCTGAAATTGATAAACGGATTTGAATAAAATTCTGAAACTTTAATACAAATTCTTTATTTATTCTAAAAGCATAAAAATATAATATTATAAGAAATTTTTCCGAGAAAAAAAATAATAATCATAAAATCCTTTTTTTTCTTTATAATTGCAATCTTCCTGATTGACATTTTACATTAACAAATGAATTAATATTATAAAAATTACAATAAAACTAGGACATGTCACCCCTTTATGAGCGTAACAGTCACTAGTATATAAAAAAATTTACATATACTATATATATATATACTACGTACTATATCACTATATTAAAATTGAATTTCTTACTATTTTAAATTAATGAACATCTAAAATTGTAATATGTCCGATTATTTGTGTGTATCCATTATCATACTTTCTTCCCACATTTTTATTATTCTTTCTTGAGTTTTACTGTCAACATTTTGTATCTGTAACGTTTCTATTGTCGGAATTGATGTTGATTCATCAGTACTGAATTTATTGTTTGTCATTGTTTCTCTTTGTTTCTTTATATTTTCAATTGATTGTTGAGTTTCATTAATTCTTTCTTTATTATCATTATATTTATTCCTCTTTTTAATTGTTTTATTCTGAATGTTGTTTCTGTTTATATATCTAGGGCATTGATGTATCAGATGGCTATCAGAGTTGCATTTGAAACATCTTCTTGGCGTCATTGCCGGTGGTATTGTTGGGGTTATCAGTTGAGTTGGTCGGGTTTGCATTGTGGAAGCTTCAAATCTATCTAGAATCATTCCACTCCTTTTCGGGATAAGAATCACTTGGACATAATGTGTGTCAAAATCCAATAACTGACTTGTGGTATTCATTTCAATTTTTAATTCTTTTTAAAAAAAATTTTTTTTTTATCTTTTTCCCTAACAAAATTTGAAACAATAATTTTTTATCTCAAAAAAAATTTTACTTTCAAATTACAAAAAAAAAATATGAAAATTAATGAATAAAAATTTGAAATTGTTTTTTTATTTTTCTATCTACATCTTTTCATTAATAACTCATAATATTTCACTTTTTACCCTTAACACATCTTTCTGTTTATTTTATATTTGTTAAACATATATGTTAATTACTTCGACCATTATCTTTATGTTATATTTTTTTAATTTTTTTATCTTTAACGGATCTTTTTGTTTCTTTAATTCATACATATGGTCTTCTACAAATTTGAAATTTCACAATTTTTACCATTTCTCTTTTTATCTATGTTACACATATAATAATCGAAAGTTTATAAAACTAATATATTTACAACTTCGGACATTTATTAATTTACATTTGTGTTTTAAATCCACATGTGCTAAGTCTTTTGTAATTGTTAACTTTAATTTTACAATTTAATTATCTACATTCCAGAGTTTTAACATAACCAGTCTTGATAACTTGACTTAATAATACACTAAAAACATCTTGATACAATAAGACACAATATTTTCAAATCAGATTTTATTTTATCAAATACGTATTTTTGTAAAAAAAATACAAATTATAAAGTGTCTCAAATATTAAATATTTTTATGTTGAGTAAATTGCAAGAAACTAAGTTTTATGTTGAGTAAATTGCAAGAAACTAAGACATATATTAATATTTTTATGTTGAGTAAATTGCAAGAAACTAAGACATATATGAATATATATTTTTTTTAAATATTAATTCTCATATTCTAAGATCTCACTCTTAAATGATCATGATGCCTAATGATCATCACTCCATTATCTAAATTAATTTTACTTAATTTGTATCCAATTATGGTGACAATAGTTCCTTTGGCCCATTTCATTTGTTTATTATCAAATAATCTAGCCCAAATTTTATTTCCTACTTGAAATTTTTTATTTATATTCTCATCTGATAATACTATATTATGGCTCTTCGGTTTTAAGAAATCCAGTGGCCCTCGAGTACGTCTACCTAAGAATAATTCTGAAGGTGAGACTCCCTCCTTATTTCTAGAATTAAGGTAATATAAATATGAAATGTAAACCTTTTCAGTAAGTTTTCCTGCCTTTCTAATCCAACTTTTAACAATTGCCACCATTCTTTCAGCTTGTCCATTCGAGCTGGGATGATATGGTGGAGCAAGAATATGTTTTGTTTGTGTTTCTTCACAAAACCTTTTAAATCCCTCACTTATGAAAGCAGGACCTCCATCTGATACTATCGTATCTGGTAAACCATAACGGGCATATAATTCTCGTAATTTTTTAACAACAATCTTTGTGGTATAGCCATGCACTTCGACGTATTCTATCCATTTAGAATAGGAATCTACCACCAAAAAGTAAGTTTTTTTATTAAGATCAAAGAAATCAATGTGGAGTCTTTCCCATGGTTTCTTTGATTTAGGCCATATCTGTCCTACCTCTTTGCTGGGCATAGAGGCACAGGTATTACAAGGGACACATTTCCTTGTAATATTTTCAATATCATTGCCCATACCAGGCCACCATACATATTCACGGGCCCAAGATTTCATTTTGTCCCTACCTTGATGTCCAGCATGTAATAGGTCAATAATTTTACCCCGTAATTTAGAAGGTATTATAGCTCTATTACCTCGCATTAAACAATCATCTACCACAGACAATTCTTTTTCTATTTTTTTATAAATTTTAAAATTATTTCTCCACGGTTTTTTACCAGTTAAAAATAATTTGATTTGGTTCAATTCTTTATCCTTTACAGTATTGGATAGACTCCACATTGATTTCTTTGATCTTAATAAAAAAACTTACTTTTTGGTGGTAGATTCCTATTCTAAATGGATAGAATACGTCGAAGTGCATGGCTATACCACAAAGATTGTTGTTAAAAAATTACGAGAATTATATGCTCGTTATGGTTTACCAGATACGATAGTATCAGATGGAGGTCCTGCTTTCATAAGTGAGGGATTTAAAAGGTTTTGTGAAGAAACACAAACAAAACATATTCTTGCTCCACCATATCATCCCAGCTCGAATGGACAAGCTGAAAGAATGGTGGCAATTGTTAAAAGTTGGATTAGAAAGGCAGGAAAACTTACTGAAAAGGTTTACATTTCATATTTATATTACCTTAATTCTAGAAATAAGGAGGGAGTCTCACCTTCAGAATTATTCTTAGGTAGACGTACTCGAGGGCCACTGGATTTCTTAAAACCGAAGAGCCATAATATAGTATTATCAGATGAGAATATAAATAAAAAATTTCAAGTAGGAAATAAAATTTGGGCTAGATTATTTGATAATAAACAAATGAAATGGGCCAAAGGAACTATTGTCACCATAATTGGATACAAATTAAGTAAAATTAATTTAGATAATGGAGTGATGATCATTAGGCATCATGATCATTTAAGAGTGAGATCTTAGAATATGAGAATTAATATTTAAAAAAAATATATATTCATATATGTCTTAGTTTCTTGCAATTTACTCAACATAAAAATATTAATATATGTCTTAGTTTCTTGCAATTTACTCAACATAAAACTTAGTTTCTTGCAATTTACTCAACATAAAAATATTTAATATTTGAGACACTTTATAATTTGTATTTTTTTTACAAAAATACGTATTTGATAAAATAAAATCTGATTTGAAAATATTGTGTCTTATTGTATCAAGATGTTTTTAGTGTATTATTAAGTCAAGTTATCAAGACTGGTTATGTTAAAACTCTGGAATGTAGATAATTAAATTGTAAAATTAAAGTTAACAATTACAAAAGACTTAGCACATGTGGATTTAAAACACAAATGTAAATTAATAAATGTCCGAAGTTGTAAATATATTAGTTTTATAAACTTTCGATTATTATATGTGTAACATAGATAAAAAGAGAAATGGTAAAAATTGTGAAATTTCAAATTTGTAGAAGACCATATGTATGAATTAAAGAAACAAAAAGATCCGTTAAAGATAAAAAAATTAAAAAAATATAACATAAAGATAATGGTCGAAGTAATTAACATATATGTTTAACAAATATAAAATAAACAGAAAGATGTGTTAAGGGTAAAAAGTGAAATATTATGAGTTATTAATGAAAAGATGTAGATAGAAAAATAAAAAAACAATTTCAAATTTTTATTCATTAATTTTCATATTTTTTTTTTGTAATTTGAAAGTAAAATTTTTTTTGAGATAAAAAATTATTGTTTCAAATTTTGTTAGGGAAAAAGATAAAAAAAAAATTTTTTTTAAAAAGAATTAAAAATTGAAATGAATACCACAAGTCAGTTATTGGATTTTGACACACATTATGTCCAAGTGATTCTTATCCCGAAAAGGAGTGGAATGATTCTAGATAGATTTGAAGCTTCCACAATGCAAACCCGACCAACTCAACTGATAACCCCAACAATACCACCGGCAATGACGCCAAGAAGATGTTTCAAATGCAACTCTGATAGCCATCTGATACATCAATGCCCTAGATATATAAACAGAAACAACATTCAGAATAAAACAATTAAAAAGAGGAATAAATATAATGATAATAAAGAAAGAATTAATGAAACTCAACAATCAATTGAAAATATAAAGAAACAAAGAGAAACAATGACAAACAATAAATTCAGTACTGATGAATCAACATCAATTCCGACAATAGAAACGTTACAGATACAAAATGTTGACAGTAAAACTCAAGAAAGAATAATAAAAATGTGGGAAGAAAGTATGATAATGGATACACACAAATAATCGGACATATTACAATTTTAGATGTTCATTAATTTAAAATAGTAAGAAATTCAATTTTAATATAGTGATATAGTACGTAGTATATATATATATAGTATATGTAAATTTTTTAATATACTAGTGACTGTTACGCTCATAAAGGGGTGCCATGTCCTAGTTTTATTGTAATTTTTATAATATTAATTCATTTGTTAATGTAAAATGTCAATCAGGAAGATTGCAATTATAGAGAAAAAAAAGGATTTTATGATTATTATTTTTTTTCTCGGAAAAATTTCTTATAATATTATATTTTTATGCTTTAAGAATAAATAAAGAATTTGTATTAAAGTTTCAGAATTTTATTCAAATCCGTTTATCAATTTCAGAATAATATTTAGATCTATTTATCAATTTCAGATTATTATTCAGATTCGTTTATTCAGTTTTTTGAGGCACAGGTATTACAAGGGACAAATTTCCTTGTAATATTTTCAACATCATTGCCCATACCAGGCCACCATACATATTCACGGGCCCAAGATTTCATTTTGTCCCTACCTTGATGTCCAGCATGTAATAGGTCAATAATTTTACCCCGTAATTTAGAAGGTATTATAGCTCTATTACCTCGCATTAAACAATCATCTACCACAGACAATTCTTTTTCTATTTTTTTATAAATTTTAAAATTATTTCTCCACGGTTTTTTACAAGTTAAAAATAATTTGATTTGGTTCAATTCTTTATCCTTTACAGTATTGGATTTAAGATCTTCCCAATTTGTGGGACCCCCTTTTAGCATATAAGAAAGGGAATAAACCAATGCGTCTTCCTGATCCCCTATCACATTACTATTAAGATCAAGATCTAATTCATTCGATCCCAACCTAGATAAGATGTCAGGCAGACAATTTTCTTTACCTCGCCTATATCTAATTTCCACATTAAAACTTCCCACTAATAACAACCACCGTTGTAATCGTGGAGATAACATTAACTCTCTGTTATCTTTCTTAAATAAATGAATTAAGGGTTTATGATCGGTATAAATTGTAAATTTTTTCCCGATCAAATATTCCCGACATTTAGTTATCCAAAAATAACAGCTAAAGCTTCCTGTTCAATAACCGAATACCTCGTCTCAACTTCTCGAAAAGAAAATAATTGGTCTCTCCAAACCATCAATTATATGTAATAAAGCACCTCCAACACCTTTATTGGAGGCATCTACCGCCAAAATTATTTCAAAATCATTATTAAAACATACTAAAATTGGCTCCTCACCAATTTTTTTTTTTAAAATTTCGAAAGCTTCTTGTTGTTCAATTTTCCAATCAAAATGAACACCCTTTTTTAATAAATCATACAATGGAGAGGCAACTTTTGCAAAATTTTCTACAAAGCGATGATAATAATTTATCATACCCAAAAATGATTGCAATTCCATTTTATTGGTGGGAGGCTTCATATATGTTATATTTTTTAAATTTTTTTCAAGAGGTTTCACCTCCATTCCATTAATCTGATGTCCCAAATAAGTAACTTCGGTTACTCCTAGAACACTCTTTTCTTTACTGGCCTTTAATCCCTTATCACGAATTCGTTTAAAAACTTCCTCCAAACGCTGATTATGTTGTTCCCGTGTTATACCAGTAATCAACACATCATCCATATAATAAAAGACTCCTTCCATACCTTGGAAAACTGATGCCATGGTACGCTGAAATATCGGCGCTGACACACTTAATCCAAAGGGTAATCTACAAAAGGCAAATAAACCTTTAGGAGTCGTTATCGTTAACAATTTTTGAATTTCTTCCTTTAATGGTAACTGCAAATAAGCAGACGAAAAATCCACTTTGGAAAAATATTTGGCACCTTTTAAATTGGCCAAACTCCATCCTAGGTAAGGGGTATTTAACATCAACTACCCATTTATTTACGGTTACACGGAAATCAGCACATAGCCTTAATTTCCCATTTGCTTTTTTAACTGGCACCAATGGTGTAGCCCATTCACTGTATTCAATGGGAATAATAATTCCATCTGATACCCATTTATCTAACTCTTCATTTATTTCCGTCTTCCATTCAAACGGAACTCTTCGACAAGCTAAGAAAATGGGTGAAAACCCATCTTTTAGCTTAACATCCACTTTATAATCATTTAAACGTCCTAATTTTTCTTCAAAAATTATTTCATATTTTTTTACTAACATATTTATATCATGATTAATTTTAATTAATTCATTTTCTTCAAATTTTCTTAATTGATCTTTATCAATTTCACAATTTATTTGAATGATATTTGTATCAATTTTTAATTTTTCAGGAAATTCAAGAAAATTACTATTAACAACAGTATTCTTTTCTTCTTTTAATATTTTCAATATTCCTCTTTCTTGAATTAAAGGTTTGCCACTATCAGCTATTACTTTTTTCTCTAAATTATCTTCAGCTAATTCCTTGTCAATAATAAACAAATTCCAATAATTATTACGGGCCCCGATTTTTATAATCCAATCCCACCCCATAATAGTTTCTACATTTTTATCCACTATCCATAAATTCAAACATATATATGAATCATGGAAAAGGACATCCCATTGAGTTTTACCCAAAACTTCAATTTCAGAACCATCGAATTGTTTTAAACACATATTTACCTTTATAATATTGCCATTAGGCCAATATTTATAAAAGTTTTCCCGAGACATTATTGAAATGCTCGCTCCGGTGTCAAACAACATATCAATATCCTTCTGGTCAATTCTTAATTTAACCCTAGGACACTGACATGGTTCAACCCATCTCTCAATCATTAAAATTTCGCAAATTTTGATAGGTTGATTCATATCTACCTTATCCGAAATATCAATGTTATTATAATCGAAATTATTGCATAAATTCAACTCGGAATTCAGTGGCTTATTAACAATATTAATACTTTTTTTAACAATATCCAGGGGATATTTTTCCCATTGGAAGATTTCAGAAGTGCATAAATTCAACTCGGAATTCAGAGGCTTTCTAATAATATCTATGTATTTTTTAATACTATCCTTTGGATATTTATTCCACTTAAATTCATGGTCAATTATATTACTTAAATTATTAAAAGAACTTTTTGTTCTTATTTTATCATTAGGATACACATAATTTATATTAAAATCATTCATTTTATGCGAATTAAATCTCATTTTACCATTTTTATATACTTTCTTAAAATTTGATTTTGGTGGAAATTTTACTGATATACGATTGCATTTGCCATCATATAGTCAATTTACAGCACAATTTATAGCTATATGTCCCGTTGTTTTGCATTTATAGCATACACGGGATACATCCTGATTTGAATATAAGGCATCAAATTTGTTTACATTATAACCTGAAATATTTCTCACGTTGGACTCTGTAAAAGCAGTTTTTTTCAATGGGAAACCCACTCTAAAATTATACTCTTTTACTATGCATGTCTCGGCTTTATAGCCTTTATAACCACACCGATTGCACACAATTTCACTAATACTTTTATCCTTTGGAAAAAAAAATTTTTCATTGGAACCAATTTTACCACTCAATTGGTTTTTCTCACACTGGTTACTCAATTTATCTATATCACAACAGATCTTATTGAGTAATTCTCTCACTCCTTTCACTTCTTGGAGAATTTCCACTGATATCTCCTCACACGGATTGTCAGACACCACAACGTCTTTCATCCAATTCACGTATTTTGTCACTACAAAAATACATTTTTTTAATACAAATTTCACAATAATAAATAATCCATAAATTATGATCAATAATACTATTGTCACTATAAGATTATTTATATCATATTGATTAACATTCTTATAAAGAATTTGATAACTAATATCCTTATAATTGGAAATTTTATTAAATATATTAGGCTCATAATCAAAACTAGGTAAAAAACCCATCTCATTATATACAATTTTATCTTACTGTACAATTATTTTTTTTAAAAAAAATGGTCTTAATTACAAAAAATTTAAAAACTATTAAATCTAATTAATCTAGAAATTTACATTTGCAAAATTTTGAATTATTTTATCTACACAAAAATTAAAAAAAAAAAATATGAAGCATTGCGTTGTGTTGTGTTATCAAATAAAATAAAAAAAATTCTTACCAGAATATCCAAACTGTTCTAGAATTTTCTTTTATAATGAGTGAATTCGTCACAGAATTATTATCCCTAAGAGTTTCGCGATCAATGGTCTTGCGGCAACAATAAAAAAAACTGAATAAACGGATCTGAATAATAATCTGAAATTGATAAATAGATCTAAATATTATTCTGAAATTGATAAACGGATTTGAATAAAATTCTGAAACTTTAATACAAATTCTTTATTTATTCTAAAAGCATAAAAATATAATATTATAAGAAATTTTTCCGAGAAAAAAAATAATAATATAAAATCCTTTTTTTTCTTTATAATTGCAATCTTCCTGATTGACATTTTACATTAACAAATGAATTAATATTATAAAAATTACAATAAAACTAGGACACTTCCTTTTTTATATTTTCCGAAAAATCTAACGCCATTTTTTTAATATTATTGCGTATATTTTCCGAATTGATAGTTAAATTTCCACCCAATCCTATAATTAATGGATCTATAATATTTCGAAATGCTTTGTCGTCTATTGATTTTATTGGATGAGTGGGCGGATAAAAAATTTTAGACTGATGGGCGGGCGGGTATTTTTTTTTTGAAAACTATCGAGAGATTAAATTTTTTTAAAACATTGGGTGGGTTGGCTTATGGTCCAAAAACTTTCCCATGCAGACCTCTAATTACATGATATAAGAAAATAAAATTATACAAAAATTTTAGCTGATAATTATATTCGCTGATATTTTCTATGACAAACAGGGGTTCGAACCGAACCGCAAAACCGGAATGAACAGTTATGATTTTCTGAACCGTAACCTTAACCGAACCGTTATGAAGAAAATATTAAAAGAGCGAACCAAACCGTTATAAATATTTAGAACCGGTTTGAACCGGTTCAAAACGGTTTTAAAAATAATTAATTTTAAATAATTAACCTAAATTTAAAATTTTAATTTTCCTTGGGGGCATTTTTTAAATTGGTGATTTCTTTTCAAATTAAATATTTCCATATTATCAACATTATATATCAAATTAAATATTTTTATATTATCAACATTATATATCAAATAATACCAGGTTTGTTGTTTTTTCTTTAAATATTTAATTTATAAGAGATTAGACAATTTATCTGTTAATTAGATAAGATATCTTAAAATCAGACATAATTATTCTTGGCTAAATTAAATTTTTTATCTCATTATAAAAACTTGGATCATAGAATTTAAATGACAATAAATAAAATAGTCAGCAATATTTTAATGATATAATAATTTTTTATTTATAATCATTGTTTTTTAAATTCAGAATTCTAATATTATAAATTATTTATTATTATAATATGTTAGTTAGCATTTACCATTATCATATATGCAAAATAAAAAAATATGATTAAAGAATGGCATTTGTAATGAATATTTTTCTAAATCTGTATTTTTAAATAATAAAAATCTGACTATAAATCGTTTAAATAAGTTAATTAACATTGCATTAAATTATTTTTATACTTTTATTTATTAATGTGTTTTATACAGTGAATTAAAAATAGGAATTACATTTTGATGTTAAACTAAATATAAATACTATAGTTTAACTTAAATTACCTATTCTGTCATATTATATTAACATCTAACAGAAATAAACTACTGACCAATTTTTATATAATATTGTTTTACAATAATTTCTTATTAATTGATATATTCAAAAAAAGTTTATCTTAGTTTATATAAAATATATCAGAGTGGGTAATTTGAATTAAACTATACTAGTTATATTTAGTTTAACATCAAAATGTAATTCCTATTTTTAAATGTAAGTCTATTTAATATAAAACACAAATAAATAAAAGTATAAAATAATTTAATGCAATGTTAGTTAACTTATTTAAACTGAAGATTTATAGTAAGATTTTTATTATTTAAAAATACAGATTTAGAAAAATATTCATTACAAATGCCATTCTTTAATCATATTTTTTTTTATTTTGCATATATGATAATGGTAAATGCTAACTAACATATTATTTTAATAATAAATATCAGAATTCTGAATTTAAAAAAAAATATGATTTTTCTAAATAAAAAATTTATATCATTAAAATATTTATTGCTGACCATTTTATTTATTGTCATTTAAATTCTATAATCCAAGTTATTTAAAAAAATAAAAATGAAGGTAAAATTGTTTCTATTAAACTTTTTTATTTATTCTATTTTCTTCTATCATCATATAGCTTTTTAGTTATCTATTAAATGGTTCGGGAAAAGTCAAATCCTGTGCGTTCCTTTTTAAATTAGATATCATAAAAAATCAATCTATTTGTAAAATAGAAGATTGTGGATCTTAACTGGAGACCATGCTGCAAATCTTGAACGACATATAGAAAGATTCCACAATAGGGAATTCAAATTATTAAGAAAAAAGAAAGAAAATTTGACTATTAAAAAAATTCAAATAATGAAAACTGCAAACCAGTATAATACAATCCAAGATGGTTTTAAGTCCAACACTACTACAATACAAATCAATATAAATAAAGAAACTTTAATCCGCTCCTGCACCGCTAATAAAAAAAAAATTTCAGACCTCTACAAAAAGTTTTATCAAATAAAAAATTTATGAAAAAAATATAAATATAAAATTGATATTATATGTAATTTAATGCAATAATAAAGAATCGACATTTCCTGGATGTATTCAAACACGTTCTTCTTTGTCCTAAAAACCTACCAGCAATACTAAATCCTCGTTCAGAAGAAGCGCTAGTTGCAGGAATTGCCAATATTTTTCTTGCTTATCTTGATAACTTTGACAAATCTCTTTCTTCTCGTTTACACCAAAGTAGTTTTAAATACACAAAAAAGTTTATTTATTTTAAGAAAAAAAATTTTATGATACCAAGGAAGGACATTTTAATTCTTAATATCCAAAAAATTTATAAGAACTATTTTTTTATTAATATTTACTTAAATGATTTTAAAAATTTTAACCTGCCCGCCTACGTTTAAATTTCTTAATCCGCCCACACACCCGCTCATAGTTTAAAAATTTTTTAACCCGCCTGCCCGTTTTTAAAAAAAATTTTGCCCCACCCGCCCACCCTCGCCTAAGACTTCTAATATAAAGTGTTTTTATTAAAACATTATGATTATATTTAATGAATATGGAAAAAATATAAATTCTATGTATTATAATTTTAAAGTAGTGGAGTTTATAGCACAGGATATGAATAAATATATAATAAATTTTAATTGTCATTTCACATATGGCAACCAAAAATTAGAATAAACTTCAGAACACAATTCTTGTGATCCAATCAACACCTCAAAAGTAAGGAGTGGTAATAAATGTTAAAAGGTTAAAGGAAACACTACTTAATATTAATCAGAGACATGCCGGATTTTTTCTTATTTCGGCTAGGATATTTTAAAAAATATTAATTTATTTTTAATTTTATAGCTAATATAGAAGATTTCGGCCTGGCCCGTCCCAGTCCGGTTATTTTTTAAAATGAAAATTTTAGGCCCAACCAAGCTTTGGTATTTTTTTTTAAATTAGGCCCGGCCCGGGTATATTTAAAAAAAATAAAGGCCCGGCCCGTGTACTAGGGCTTAGGATCGTGTCTGTAGGTCTATGATATTAATGTTTAACCCAACTTTGTTTAGTAAGAATTAGGTGTGAACTAGGCCTATTCAAAAAAAATTGGAATATTCAATTCGATTCGAACGAATAATAAATTATTTGTTTTATCCGAATACGAATAATTATTTATTCGATTCGAATAAAACGAATTATTCGGAATATTTAATAAATCTAACATTTGTCATTTCTATTTGATGACCTTCCAATCTGACAGGTAATGTGTTTATAAAAAGACTAGCAAAATTTAAAAAATCTCTGAAGTGAAAATTAAATTTATATTTGCCGTATTTTTCGAATCTCACGAGAAGTTAATTTTTTACATCTCATAATAAATTATATTAAAAAATTATACAAACCAAAGGTATATAAAAATATAATATATTTCTAAAATAAATTATGATAGAGGAGAATGCTTCTGATGAAATAGTTACGCTTAGTGTTGAATTTGACAAAATTTCTTCATAAAAAGAGCGATTATATGGGATCAATATCAAATCAATAAAGATGATGAAAGCTGCTTGCAATCATAGAGCATTATAAAATGTAAGGCAAAACAACATCCCCTCTTATTAATCATTATAATAAGTTCATTCACACCTAGGGATTACCTATCTATACAAGGAACATCAACTGCTTGTGAAAGACTTTTCCTAGTTGGAACTAATTTGTTTTCAAAAAATCGCATGTCATATAAGGAAGAAAATATAAGAAAAACTCTGCCTTAAATATTGGCTTAGAATTATGAATTAAATTAATAATATACATTTTAATTTTTTTATAATAACTTAATATATATTTTTATCATCTATTATTGATTACATATTTTATTATCAGATTATTATAAAAAAAATTTCTGTTTGAAATAAAATTTGCAATAAAAAAATTGTCAATATATTTGAGTATGATATATTTTATTAAGAAAATTAATTTCAATTATTCGAATAATCCGAATCGAATATAAATAGTATATTATATTATTCGCACGAATACGAATAGTAAATTATTCGATTCGAATACATTTTTGAATAGGCCTAGTGTGAACCATCAGCGAAATAACGCAAATTGGTTCAAACGAATGTATAACATTTACCTCTTTAGATTGGTCGGAGAACGCGGGTGATTTGGGGGGTGAGGGCGCGACGTTCAATTTGGCCATATCGATGATTATATCCGGTGAATAATTGGCCTGGTATGTCTCAAGATAAAGTTCAGGCGAGGCGAAGGCCGGAACTTTGTAATGCTTAGGTTCGAACATGGCTTGTATGATAGAACTTGTTTTATATATTTTTATAACCATTGTATATATACATGATTGAGAGCCAATACTATTCTTGTTAAGCAGCTCTATTTTTAAAAATGGCTAACCCAACATTTCAGCCAAAAGGTATTACGCAAGCCCGAAGATTTTGTTCATAGATGGCAGAAAGGTTTGGACATCTATTATCCAAATCTCAAGGCTTGCGTAATATTATTTTGGCTCAAATCTAAAATAGGCTAAATCGAACCGTTTAGCCGTTTAACAACACTAGCCAATACTTTCAATTAGGAACTTATGTTTTATTTAATTTTATCAAATTTTATTATTTAACAAAAGAAGAAAAACTAACATCAAAATAAATTTGAACATAAAATTGTTATATTTTCCATAATAGTTATCTATATATATATCTTAAAAACAATCTCGATTAATACAAAATGAAACTTTAGGCGTATAAAATAAAGTATCACAATCAGTATAAAAAATGTTATTTATCTTTAACAAATTAAGATGTTTATAACCGATAGCTGAAAATGATAATTAACCCTATCAAATAAAATTTAAGTCTATAAAAGCCTATGAATTGATTTATCTAACAATTTTCCAAAACAATAAGATAGAACCAAAGTTTTCCGATCATTTTTTTTGTAAATCTCATATACATTATATTTATTATAAATGAAATTTTAAAAAATCTATTTGACGAATTTTAGGTTAAACTTTGCTTTCAATAAATACTATATATATAATTAATATAATTTATTTTTGGGCATCAGTGTCGGTGGTATCAGCACTTTCTTTCTTTTGTTAAATAGAAATTATATTTCTCTCACTCGTCGACGCCTCCAAACAAATTCGTATCTCCGTAACCATTATCCCAATAATCGTTCCCAATTCCATCCTCTTTCTCTGGTCGGTTTGCTGTCCTCGCGTTATTTGTCTCATCAGAAGTAGGTTCTTTTCTTTCTACCCTCTCTGTCGCAAGCATGTCATTTTTGCCAATCCCTTTCTCCATTTTTTTTGGTCGGACAGGCGACCCACTAACCAGGGTTTGGGGTATCAAATAGGGTATTTGAGCTGGAGTGGCGGGCCTACGTGTGGCCGAAAATGTGTAGTCGGTGCGATAGTCAACCGTAAGGGTAACACATCCGATTCCGGGAACTTGAATACACCCGACCTTAACGATTTTGAGATTAGAAAAAATAATATTATTTTTCAAATTCGGGCAAGGCCAAAAAATAAATTAAAAAATTACAAACCCGGGCATGATAATAGAAAACCGATAAATCATAAATCTTTCATTGATTTGAGTTAAAATTAAGTACAAAAGTGGAATAAAAATGGTTATTTTATAATGATCCAAAATTGAGTCTAGGTAGTGTTGAGTAATCGGCTAATTTTAGCCGACTACAAAACGGCTTAGCCGAGATATTAGGTGAAAAAATCGGCTAAACCTAATTAGGCTAAGCCTAAAAATCGGCTAAACCTAATTAGGCTAAGCCTAAAAATTGGCTAAAATAAATTAGTCAAAAATTCTGCATCGATGCCTAGCATTAATTATTATTTATTTATTTTAGTAAAATAATTTATTTTATTTATATTTAATGTAAATATTTTATTATTATCAACAAATAAACATAATATGATTTAATATTTTTTATTTATATTGTTATATTTTTAAATGAAAATAAATTTATATATTTGATGTTTTTTTTAATAAAAAAAAAATATGCTGCTATTGTAAAAATGTAATATTCTTTTATATAATTTATTAGTGATTTTCACAATCTTCTTTGTAGATACATCTTTTATTGAGGAATTATATTGTAAATTTTATTAGATAAATAAACAATCTTTTAGGTGAAATCTTTTATAATTTTTTTAAAATTATCTATTTTTTATTAAATGAGGTGGATTTTATGAAACTTTTTGATGCTATTTTAAGATCTTTTTAAGGATAATATTTTAAGACAATTGTCATAATCGTTATTTTATAAGTTTTTTGAATTTTTTTGAAAAAAATATGTTAAGTATTAATAACATGTGTAAATTAGATACCTTGGGTCGGGCTTGGGCCTAATTATAAATTTTCTAGCGGGCCTGGGCCGGGCTTGGGTTCGTTGGAAATTTTTGCAATAGGGCTTAGGTCTAAATTTTTAAATTCAAATTTAGCTTATTTTAAGGATATTTAATAGGACAAATAAGAAATCATTCTGATTTTATTAGTGTTATTTATCAAACTTCCTATACACCCTGGGAGAGTATATATTTTTTAAATCGGAAATTGGTATAATTTTACTTAACTTAACACAACGGCCTGGGCACGAAACAGCGAAAATCAGGGAATATTCCCAAAAATGTTCCCAAAGATGGCCAACATTTTATTTTTATTTAAACATGTTATTATTACTCATTTTAACATATTTTCGTCAACAAAAATCAAAAAACTTTAAAAATAACGATTTGACAATTGTCGCTTATCTAGAGTACATCTTCACTAAATTTTTATTTAAACATGTTATCAATACTTATTTTAAAAATGTTTTGTCAATACAATTCAAAAAACTTTAAAAATAACGATTATGACAATTGTCACTTTTCTACGGTACATCTTCATTAAATTTTATTTAAACATGTTATCAATACTTATTTTAACATATTTTCTTCATAAAAATTCAAAAATCTTTAAAATAACGATTATGACAATTGTCGCTTTTCATTGGTACATCTTCACTAAATTTATATTTACACATGTTATTAATATTTATTTTAACCTATTGTCATCAAAAAAATTAAAAAAACTTTAAAAATAACGTTATGACAATTGTCACTTTTCATTGGTACATCTTCGCTAAATTTATATTTACACATGTTATTAATATTTATTTTAACATATTTTTGTCAAAAAAATTTAAAAAACTTTAAAAATAACGATTAAGACAATTGTCACTTTTCATTGGTATATCTTCACTAAATTTTTATTTAAACATCTTATTAATACTTATTTTAACATATTTTCGTCAAAAAAATTTAAAAATAACGATTATGACAATTGACACTTTTCATTGGTACATCTTCACTAAATTTATATTTACACATGTTATTAATACTTATTTTAATATATTTTCGTCAAAAAACTTTAAAAATAACGATTATGACAATTGTCACTTTTCATTGGTACATCTTCATTAAATTTATATTTACACATGTTATTAATACTTATTTTAACATATTTTCGTCAAAAAAATTTAAAAATAACGATTATGACAATTACTTTTCATTGGTACATCTTCACTAAATTTATATTTACACATGTTATTAATATTTATTTTAACATATTTTTGTCAAAAAAATTTAAAAAACTTTAAAAATAACGATTAAGACAATTGTCACTTTTCATTGGTATATCTACACTAAATTTTTATTTAAACATCTTATTAATACTTATTTTAACATATTTTCGTCAAAAAAATTTAAAAATAACGATTATGACAATTGACACTTTTCATTGGTACATCTTCACTAAATTTATATTTACACATGTTATTAATACTTATTTTAATATATTTTCGTCAAAAAACTTTAAAAATAACGATTATGACAATTGTCACTTTTCATTGGTACATCTTCACTAAATTTATATTTACACATGTTATTAATATTTATTTTAACATATTTTTATCAAAAAAATTTAAAAAACTTTAAAAATAACGATTAAGACAATTGTCACTTTTCATTGGTATATCTTCACTAAATTTTTATTTAAACATCTTATTAATACTTATTTTAACATATTTTCGTCAAAAAAATTTAAAAATAACGATTATGACAATTGACACTTTTCATTCGTACATCTTCACTAAATTTATATTTACACATGTTATTAATACTTATTTTAATATATTTTCGTCAAAAAACTTTAAAAATAACGATTATGACAATTGTCACTTTTCATTGGTACATCTTCATTAAATTTATATTTACACATGTTATTAATACTTATTTTAACATATTTTCGTCAAAAAAATTCAAAAAACTTTAAAAATAACGATTATGACAATTGTCAATTTTCTATGGTACATCTTCACTAAATATTTTTTAAACATGTTATTAATACTTATTTTAACATATTTTCGTCAAAAAAATTCAAAAAACTTTAAAAATAACGATTATGACAATTGTCACTTTTCTATGGTGCATCTTCACTAAATTTATATTTACACATGTTATTAATACTTATTTTAACATATTTTCTTCAAAAAAATTCAAAAAAACTAAAATAACGATTATGACAATTGTCACATTAAAATATTATCCTTAAAAAGATCATATAAAATCATCAAAAAAGTTACATAAAATCCACCTCATTTAATAAAAAATAGATAATTTTAAAAAAATTATAAAAGATTGTTTATTTATCTAATAAAATTTACAATATAATTCCTCAATAAAAGATGTATTTACAAAGAGGATTGTAAAAATCACTAATAAATTATATTAAAAAGAATATTACATTTTACAATATAGCAGCATATTATTTTTCTCAATTTTCAGATTTTTATTTTTACATAGTTCAAATAAAGTGAGACTATCCGGTCCATTTCGGCTGACCACCGTAGCATTGCCGATAACGTTGTTTTATAGATAATATTCATCTTTACCAATTTTAATATTAAAATCCCCCATAACTATCAAATTATATCTTTTTGGGAGGTATCAATAACATTCTCCAGTTCGTCGAAGAAAGGCTTCCTCTCCTTTAAGGTAGGGGGTGCCGTATATATTCAGAAGAATTGTTGGCTTGTAAAGCTATTATGTCGATATCTTCATTTGAAATAAGTTTGATAAAAATACATATTTTATTGTTTAAACCATTAATATTATACGTAGAGATATATATAGATCCTTTGATTTCCAACATGTTCAGGGAGTATCGCCAGAGAAATATCTGTAAAGAGTAGACTTCAAATGTTTAATTCGATTTTTACTGAAATTTATTTACATTAGTAATTTTATTGAATTTTTTTTTATAATTATTTTTCAACCTTAATGTTTTACATTTCCTTTCAATTGTAATTCTTTTACTGGCCGATTTACCTGAAGTATCTTTTATTATTATAGTTATCCTTACAAATCTCCTTCTGAAGTTTTAGTCCCAACCTGTATTAGTTCTCATTTCATGTAAGACAATTATTACTCCCTGAACATGTTGGAAATCAAAGGATCTATATATATCTCTACGTATAATATTAATGGTTTAAACAATAAAATATACATACTTACCAAACTTCTTTCAAATGAAGATATCGACATAATAGCTTTACAAGAAACGCATTTAAGAAATGATATGAAGGCAGTTTTCAGAGATTTTTCTCTGCTGAATTCAGGTACAATTATAAATAAATGGTCTGGTACGGCCTTCTTAGTGAAAAATAGTATTTACAAATTTGTCAGGAAATTTGTACCTATTTCGGAAAGGATGGTGGCTCTTTACTTAAATACGGCTTTCAAGCCAACAATTCTTCTGAATATATACGGCACCCCCTACCTTAAAGGAGAGGAAGCCTTTCTTCGACGAACTGGAGAATGTTATTGATACGCTCCCAAAAAGATATAATTTGATAGTTATGGGGGATTTTAATACTAAAATTGGTAAAGATGAATATTATCTAAAAAACAACCTTATCGGCAATGCTACGGTGGTCAGCCGAAATGGACCGGATAGTCTCACTTATTTGAACTATGTAAAAATAAAAATCTGAAAATTGGGAATACTTTTTTTCAACATAAAACTCAACACACTTTCACCTTTTATAGGAACAATTATTGTTCACAGATTGATCTTAATTTATCAAATATTCATAGTTGGTTTTTTGATGTAAAAGCAATGACTACTATTAATATCTCTGACCATAAAATGGTTAAAGGACACTTAATGATTATAAGTGACATGTGGAGGAACAAAAATACAAGTTGCTCTGCTATGGTTAGATTGCCTAGACCGCTTAATTTTAAAGATGATTTTAACAAATTAAAACTCCCCTTGGTGAAGGATGTGGTCACCACTAAGTTGTCATTAGACATCAATAATTTTATGATCTCAAATCGAGATTTAAATTTAGAAAAATGTTGGAGTGACTTTAAGTTCTTGATACTTTCTACGTGTAAAAAATACTA